TAGCCGGGCGTGTTGGCACCTATCTGGATGCCACAGCTGCCGCCGGGCACCTTGCGAAACGTTTGAAAATTCGCCGTCGGCACGGGTATGTCGCTGGAGCTGCTCTTTGCCGCATTGCTCTTGAACGTGCCCATTGTGAATTTACGCAGCGAGTCAAAGTAGCCGCGGTCGTGCTTCAGGCTGTTGTTGCTGCTCAGGCTGCTGGTGGGCGTGGCATTGCCAGTTGCCGCAAGTGTGGCAATCACATCCTTGGAAGCCTGCGGCGAAGGCGTGCATAGATTTGTGCTGACCAGCGCATCGTTCTCCTCCTCGCCCGAGCTCTCGTTCTCGGAATACAGATCCTTGCTGGTGCAGGCCGCGTTGCTCACCGCTGGCGCCTTCTGTGAGGCGAGTCTGAGGAACTCCACCCACTGATTGAGCGCGTCCAGTGACTCCGCGGCAAAGTAGAAACTCTTTGCCGTGTGGTACACCTTGAAGGCATGCGGCTTGGAGTGCACCTCCTTGGCCAGCGAAACAGTAAAGCCGGGCAGAAAGATGACCAAGCTGGCGCTGGAGCTTTGCTTGCTGCGAAACCCGTACAAAATGGTGTCCAGCATCACGAAATAGATGCGCGCCCAATACGTGACGCCGCGCAGGTTCTTCGTCCGCCTGTACAGATGACCCTGGATGTCACCGGTGCCCAGCAGCTTGAGGTTCGTGTTGCGTCGCTTGGCCATCAGACTGTGCTTCTTCTTCAGCGTCAGCGTGCGCGTTTTGGTTGGTGTCAGCAGCTCGCTAATCTCCTGTTCCCCCCCTGCTGCTGCTGTTGTTACCGTTGCCGCTGCCGCTGCTGTTGACGTTGTCGGTGCTGCTGCAGCCGGCTGCATGCTCGCTGGCTTGGGGGGAGGCGGTGGCACAACTGGCGGAGTGAGCTCTCGTTGCTTGCGCGGACGCGGCGGCGGCGCTGGCGGCGTCACTAGCAGAAACTCTTTGCGTGGCTCAATGGCCGGCGGCGGTGTATCCGACTCCTCCTCTCCGGAATTATCATAGGCCGGCGTGCTGTGACTCTTGTCCAGGCGGCCGCGTCGGTTCTGTTGCTGCTGTTGCTGTTGGATTAGCGGCGCATTAATGGCCTCCGCCAGCGGCGGCGTCTCACGCGTGGCCAGCTCCATGGCCTGGATAAGCTCGGCACTGGTTTCGCTGGCGCAACTGCGCAGCGTTTCCAACGCATCCTCGTCCCCTTCGTCGGCAAAGGGTATGGGCTCAAACGTCTCCAGTATTGTGTTTTCCACATTGCACGTAAACTTCTCGTTCTTGACCACATAGTCCTCCACCTTCATGTTGGCGTCGAAGCGCACCACCTTGCTCACGCCGGGCTTGTAGCGGTCCAGCATCTGCAGCTGCTGCTGGGATTGCAGGCCCGCCTCTGTCAGCTGCTTCAGCTTGCGCGCCTCGTTGAACAACCGCTTGGCTGTGTCTGCGCTGTCGCTGGCCGCCAGACCAATGCAGGTGGTTGGCCTGGGCGCAATCTCGAGGCCATAGCCAAAGGATATGGACTTGTCGCGTATGCTGGGCGAGCCAGGATCACAGATAGTGGCTCCACCGACTCCGCCGCCGCCAGGCTTACGCTCGTGCCAAGAGGGTATCACCAGATGCGGATGCTTAAGGCTGAGAAACTCATCGCCGCAAATTGTGTTCCGTCGCTGAAGCAGAGCTCGCGGCTTGGGATAGTACAAACGCATTTCGCGACTGGCGGACTTTGTATCCGTGGGAGTGGGTATATCACTGCAACTGGAATCCGAGTCTGAGGCTGCATGCGCCTGCACCTGCTCACCCTCCTGCTCCCGCACCAGCTCCTTTACTTTGACGCCTTTGCCGTCGTCGCTTCTCTGCGTTTTGGGCGCTGTATCTAGCGTTAGGAATGCGGCACGCGGACTCGGGCTGGGCAGGTTGTCCGCCCAGCGACTGGCCATGTTCCGCTTCTTGCTTGGCAGCCGATATGGCTGCATGTAGATCTGGCCATACATCTTCGTGTGCTTGGGCCGTTTCTTGACAGTGAGCACCACATCGGGCAGCGCCTCGCACAGATGGTGCAGCACAGTCTTATGCTGCCAGCCGACGACAGTCTGGTAGTTAATCTGGACGATTTCATCGCCATCCTCGATCTTGCCCGAGTTGTGGGCGGGCGAGTTGTACTTAATGTCCGTCACCCGGTGGATTCCATTGTAGCTGGACTCAATGTTGAAACCAAGATCCGATTCGCGCTTCTTCAGTGTCACAAGATTCAGAGACGCCGGCTGCAACACCATCGGATCCGATATGTCCTGTATAATGAAATTCGCTAGCCGCTCCAGCCGCTCCGCCGTCGCCTTGATCTGAGCCACTGGCCGCTCCGCAAAGCGATCCCTATGCGCTATCGTCGCCAATTCCAGGCCGCAGCGCAGCACATTTCCACAGTACTCCCGGTACATGTCCTGGTTGCGAAACGGCGAACGCTCCAAATTCCCAATCAGCGGCTTCAACGTCGCAATCGTGCGCGTAATGTCGTGCAGCGTCCGAGTGTCAATCTTCGTGCTGTCCGCGTGATTCTTGGCCAGCTCCCGATGCAGATTCCGTGCCGCGGTGCCAACGTGCAGCGCCATAAACTGCAGGTTATCATTCTTCAGGTGATAATGCTAAAATGGATAAGGACAATGGATAAAAGCAATCCAAACTGAACCACAGCACAATGGATAAAATCTTGATCTAGCGGCAATAAACTCGAAATGTGCTTCATCTGCTGGAAACGCTTTTCAAACTAGATATATTTCTTTAAAGCGAAAATAATGCATTCAGTTGAATTTTGTTTAGTTAAGAAAAATGATGTATAGAATCTAATAAACCGATTTCAATTAAAGCTTAGTTTAAACTTATTCTTTTGACCAATATTAAATGGAAAGTGTGAATTAAATGCCGCTAGAATTTGATTTTATGCCACTGTGCACTGGGGACGCACTTACGAAGTTACGCAGGTTTTCAACGGCCTCAAGGACAATTTCCTGACGGCCTATGGCCTTCATGCCCAGATTTTCCAACTCATATGGCCGTATATTGAGCAGGGCCCGTCCGCCGATTTCATGTTTCGAAAATTCGTACAAATAGCCTTTCATGGACTCGTCGAGACCTTAGCGCCAAATAAAAAGCAAGTAAACAAATACGCATGAGAAATTATTTTAATTCAGAGTCGGATGTGAAAGGAATGTTGCTGTTGTTGTTGTTGTTTTTTTTTTGCTGTGTGACTGTTGCTGCTGCTGCACTTTTCCTTGACCTGTTAAGAGAGCCATATATTTACCTCGGATCCAGTCTGTTACTTGGTCGGGCGTCCATTCTGCTATGTTTATATAGGCCATACTAATTGAGAGAAGCACCAGCCAAGCACACAACTACTCCATATTAATTTCAACACAACATAAACAATTGATTAAAATAAAAGTTTTTGTCCCAGAGCCAGGGCTGGCAATTCACGTAGATATCTGATATTGTTGCGTCCGCTAGCTGCACTAGAGATGGGAGATTTTTTGGTAACTGCTACATATCGCCAGACTCCCAAGTTAACGTATTTATGAAATATTTAAACTGAGTGCAATATATTCACAGTGAGGTGCACTAACTCGGACATAAGCGACCATGTCATAAATCGCTCATCTCTAGCATGCATAGGCTGCACCATACTGTTGTGCTGTAAACAGCGCAATGTAAAAATATGTGACTACACTTTATTGCCCAGCCACCACAATAAACAGCTGAGCTGTGTAGTGTTGATAAATAGTAGTCTATTTGCATTTTGTTCACTTTAGAAACAGCTGAGCAATACAAAAAATACCGAGTTTGTGTATGCCACATATTCCAATTTCTAATCACGCTGAAATATTTGATCTTTTATAGATGCATAAATATTCATACTAAATTACTTTACATACATCACATTCAGGTTATTGAGACGCTTTATTCAACACCAGATTTAAAAACGAAAACAACGCAACTGCGCACATATTTTGGTTGCCTATGTACACGTTAAATCATTTGAGTGAGACAGAAAGCGAGAGAAAGAGAGCCGACAAAGTAATCACCGCGTGGTTCTTAACGCATTGCAATTGCAGCTGCAGATAAAACTAGGGAAACATGTCTGGAACCCAGACAAAACAAATCAAATTTTACAATCCAGCGAGTTCCGCAAGTTCCGACAGGTAACAAATATATAAAGTGGCGATAATAGTGATACGTGAAAATCCACCCAAAACTCATTCATCACCAAGAAGCCTAAGCAGTTGAGCACGCAATAAATAAAACGTCAAATCGCAAAGATACTCACATGCATGTTTAAATGAATAAACATACATATATTTACATATAATTATATACATAAAGCGTGTGATATAGCGTGGTTCTGTTAGATACCTAACATACATACATGTAAATACATACATAAAAACTATGTACATGTTCACATACATATGATAATTTAAATTTCATTCGCTACTGAATTTCGACGTCAACTCGAGAGCCGCGACGTTGCAGCAGAATGAAAAAAAACGTTTTTTTGTACAAACAACAAACACAAGCACAGTTATAACGCAGCGAAGCAGCAGATACAACAACAGCAGAAAAAGCAACAAAAAAGTGGCTGCTCTACCTTTCGGCTGTACCTTCGCCACCGTCGACGTCGTTAGTTGCTTTTAACCTTAGCTCTGCGAATCGACAGACACTGAAATAGACAGCGGCCGATTGCGATTTCTTCACACATTCACGTTTTAGTCATTCTCCAACGCGACTGATGCACGTTGCTTGTTTTTTGACCGGCGCCGGTAGCTGACAACTGCGTACACTCACATCTAACAACGATTTCCCAGCGCAATAAACAACAACAACAACAATAAATAATAGTTAATAATCATAATATCAACAACGACAATTAAGTTCATAAGCACGCTACTCCTTAGCGCCGACAGTAAATCGCATCACATGCGAAAGGCGTTGGGCTCGTCGTCGTCGGCCACATTGTGCAAACATTTGAGTGTGGGAGTGTGCTGTGTGTCTGTGTCTGTGCCTGTGCTTGTGTTTGTGTGAGCGAGTGATTGACCCATTTAGCTGCTATATATTGATATACCTAACGCATACGCTACGTCGGATTTTGGCATTGGCTCATTGTCTAAAATGAGCAGTATCACGTTTTTGTGCAGCAAAACTAACACTAATAGCAATAACAGCAATAAAGATGCGGCAGCCAAAGGAAAATCATCCACAGCTTCTTCAGTATATGCTTCAGCCGGCTTACTAACAGCAACAACAACAACAGCAACGCACCAACAACATCAGGCACAAGCACTGCTACAGCTGCACAACCCGTTGAAGAAGGTTAAGGCTGCAGCCAAAACCAACGGTCACAGTCACATGTAAATCATTTGCATTTTTATTCACATTTTATTTAACATTCAATATACATGCATACATATATACATATATGTATATGTGTGGAAGAATATTCAAGTATATCCAACTTTATGTGATTGTTTGTTGTATCATTTGTATTTGTTCTCTTTTTCCATTTTCGCCACATATACACACAACACATACACGTGTGCATACGCACACACATGCAACTGCATATATTTTTGCCTACATATGTATGCGTATACACAAGCTCTAATTGTTTTGTTGTTACTCCCTGTATTTGTTTCTGTGTTTAATTAACGTTTTTTTCAATATCGTTTATCGTTGTCGCTGAGTCAACTATCAGCCGCTGTCGGGTTGGCATCGCAAATACAAAAACAGCGTCAGCGTCTGCGTCTGCTTCTGCTGCTGCTGGTATTTGTTTCAATATGGCTGCGATCAAGCCACGTCCATATGCCCTCTCCGCCTCTTCGCTCTAATTATGTGACTATTCAGGAATTTTCTCTTCCTTCTCTCCCTCTCTCTCTTTTTCTCTCTTGGTTTGTGTCCTTGTTGCCTACCAACCTGTTGGTCTGAACACGTGCAACCAGCACCCTCCCCCACCCCAGTCAATTTTTCACCACGCACGTTGTGCTTCATCAATGCTAAATGTACCGTTATGTAGACATGCACATAGACTTATGTACCCAAATAAATACAAAGACACACGTATACAGATGCGTGCGTAGTTCAACTATAAATAAAAAGGAAAATTGACGCAAAGGCAGCAGCAGCAACAGCCTGAACATTGCGTACATTTCTAGGGAAAGTACTGTGAAATTTTTATGGCACCCACAATGAGTGCAATGAACGGTACACGCTAATGGCGTACATACATACATACATGGATGTATACATTTGTGCATATGATGTAGTAGTTGGCACAGCATCCGAAATTCGTAAGTTGAGCGTCGCATTGTCTGGCTGGATAGATACTTAGGTATGTGCAAAATTTTCTCTGCATACGTTATGTGCGGTTGCCTTATTGACGACATTTGCCAGAGGCATCTTCTGGCGCATTGGAATGTCTGTGAAGTTATTAGGTAGTTGGGGTGGCGCTGTAGGGGAGGCTAAATCCATAGATATTTTAATACCCTGTAGCTGACAAGCGGAGACAGGCCTACCAGAAGAAACCCCTTCAAGATGTTCGATGCTCAAATGTCAAATGTCATCTGATGTCTCCGATTTTAGGGGTTGGTATGAAGCTCTGATTATCTATTGTTATATGATACAGTTTCGCTGGCTATGAAGGATAGTGAAAGATATGATCTTATTCGAAAATGTATTCTCATTCATAAACAGAAGGAACTTAAATATATGTATACTTAGGTGTATCTATTCGATATTCGATGATGATGAAGTAACCCGCTAACTACTCGTACAGGGTATTGGATACCCATATAAAAGAGGAATAAACGCGGTTTCGACTTGGATACGATTGTATCGAGTTCTGCAGAGGCCTTATCTAATTCACACACACACACGCACACATAGACATATGTATGTATGCACGCCCCATGCTTCGTTTTTCGAACAACGCACGTGCTTTTATCCGTTTATCCGTTCCGTCTGGATATTCCTAATAAAAATGTTATTTTTGTTACTTGTACAAATTTGTTTTGGCATATTACACGAAGCGAACTTCTACTGAACCATCATATACTACATTGGATATTAACATGATAAATCCGTTCATATTGTTTATGTAAATATATATACTTATTCGTATATGCATATGTTAGGGTAATTGTTAAATCGTGTATTGAGAGGACTCTGAAGATTTCTATTACTTTGGCGTATGCTAGCAATGTGTGTCTGAAATAATTTGCCATGAATGCATTTCTTTGTTTTTGTACACTGTCTAGACTTGAGAATATTGAATAATAAATAAATACACACAAATATAAACAGTTGGGTGCTTGGTTGATAAATCTGTTTAGAAGATCCTCGAGTCTATTTCTGGCCATTTTGTAGTTCGTTTTTTATTTTTATTTGACACATAATATCTTCTATGTATAACATATTTGATTGAAAGATTTGACTACCCAAGAAGCGCGTTCTTTGAACTCAACACAATTTGTTTAAACTCCATCTGCATGCTATTTATAAAGCTTTCATCATATACCCAAAATGAACGAACATAACATAAAATTCCAGTTTACATTTTTATACAAATATGCAGATAACATGCTAGTCATTGTTTATCAAAGATTTGCCGCAGAGTTGCGCATTGTCCATGCTGTTTTTATACCCTTTATACCCTTGCAGAGGGTATTCTAATTTGTATACGAGATGTGTAACGCTTAGAAGGAGACATCTCTAGGTCCCACAAATATCTGTTCTTGCTCGACTCGATAGCCATGTCTGCGTCCATGCTTTGCAGGTGCTCCTCGGACTCAGCCAGATCGGACCTCCATATCACAAAGTGGCCAAAGTTCTTACCTGGAAAACATTTTAACTTTAAGGTGTCCGAAATCTTATCGACCTGGGAGGACGCTGCTATAAACCCAATCGGTTGACTTTGTATAGAATCACTTCTCATGTGTCTTCGAAGGGTATTTAATCTGCGGTTTGTCCAAGTTGGCCGTTCCTTCTTCTTCTTCTGGCGATAATTTTCTGCAAGCTTTTTGCGCATTGTATTTTTGGAACGTAAGTTATTTTGGTCGCGTGTCAGGGAATCTTATCTGGCTAATTCGCGGGGGAATCGCCAATAAAATTTTATTACGTGTATTTGTGGTACTTGAGACACGTATATTTAACGAAATGTGGCCCATGTGTGATTAGTAAATGTTTCGAGTTTGTTTGGGACTAAGGTTGGTTTCATAAATCTATCGACTTTGCAGCGACGATCGCTCAGATGTTACGGAACCTCTCTTCATTGATCCCGGCGCTGCGGGCAGCGAGCGCAACTGCTGTCCGGCTTCGCCCACAACGGTGCCAGCCAAGTCGATTTTGGAGTCGCCCATGCGGCGCGCGGGCAGACGCCAGCGCACAACATCGATTGGTAACCAGACGACCACTGCCAATCCGTCCGAGTGCATAATACGGTCAAATAATCGCACCATTTACACGGCCGGAAGACCGCCGTGGTACAACTGTGCCGGCCAGCAGGTGGAACCCTTTGTCATAGGTGCGTATTAGCTGTTTTGCCTGTGTTTGGCTTATCGAGTATTCCGTGGGCAGGCATTTGCGGAGGCAGCGCATCCGGCAAGACGACCGTGGCCGAGAAAATCATAGAAAGCCTAGACGTGCCTTGGGTGACCCTCCTCTCCATGGACTGCTTCTACAAGGTAGGCGCCAACACGACCAACGCGACGAGACACATCGTAGTCTATGCTAAACTCTTAACCTCATCCGCAGATCCTAAACGAGAAGCAACATGAGCTGGCGCTCATCAACGAATACAACTTTGATCATCCGGATGCATTTGACATTGACCTGCTCGTCGATGTGCTGACCAAACTGAAGGAGGGCAGGAAAGTGGAAGTCCCAGTCTACAATTTTGTGACACACGGTCGCGAGAGTCAGACGGTAAGTAGCTCAAGAGAATGAGGCTTCCACCGACCTCATAAATTCGTTGATTAGCATCAACAGCCGAATATACAACATATTTAAGAACATTTAGGGACTTAAAATTTGAGCGTGGCTCCTTCTAGTGCACGAAAAGATCGAGCTTATTTCGAATCCTTGATACCATGATAAAAAATCAATGAATATATCAGTTTTTCTCCTAGCTCGTAGTTTGAGAGAGCGAAACACTCCAAATTTGGGATTTGATTTAGTATATTTTTGGATGCCTTCTAACCTACAACCCCAAATAAAGGAAACTTATTTTATTAAGGTTTTTTTTGCACATTTTACACAACTGAATCCCATATATGAATAATCCTTGAAGCTTTTATGAAGATCGGACAATAAACATCGAAGTAAATCAAGTATATATACACCTACAAATGTGAGGTAAATTTATTCTCACCTTAACAAAGGTTCAAAATTTGTCTGTACGTTTATCAACAATCAGTCAGGACAGACACTTTTGTATATAAAGATAAATGTTGGTAAACAAACTTTTTTTTTCCTCGAAAGTTGTTTGCCTTATCTTCAACAAGAAATAATAATTATAAATGGTGCAAAGAAGTAAAAGAAGATTGGGCACCTTTGCAGAGTATTCGCAAATGCACTAGATATTAACTATGATAATATAATATTAACATTATAGTATAAATAAATAGTTATATTCAAAAGCTTGGTTCAAACACCTTCATAGAACTAAATTTAGACATTTAGTTATTTGACATACAAATTAACTACCTTTAGAAAATATAAGAATTTATGCAAAAGTTATAACACTCAAAAGCTGCAGAAATGGTTGATTTTTGGGTTATTTTCCTTTTTAAATGACAGCAAAAGGAGTTTATGACAAATCGTTTAAAGTCTAAGAAAAGTATTTCATCAATGAAGATGGATTGCGGTTGTCCGTCGAATCCTCTGGGGAATTTTTCCCGGCCATAACTCTTCAAACTGGAATTTCTAATACCCTAAGTCACCATTTAAGTCATAAACATCGATTTTTAGAAAATCCCCTACCGACTCGTCTATTAAAGCTGATTCAAAATGAGGTTCAGTGCAAAAACGTATAAATTTTGGTGCAATAATTTTTTATAACAGAAAGCATTATTATCGACTTGACACACATTGCAGTATGATGCGACAATTGCTATCAATTGATAAATTAATCACCAAGATATAAGTTATTAGAGAGTTTATTTATCACGATCTTTTACTTTTAGAAAACCATGTATGGCGCCAACGTCATAATATTCGAGGGTATACTTACCTTCCACAGTCCCGAGGTGCTCAAGATGCTCGACATGAAGATATTCGTGGACACAGACCCCGACATACGCCTGGCAAGGAGACTTAAGCGGTAAGAGAAGATACTTTTGATTATCATTCGCCATTTAATTTATATTTTACGCTTACTTACAGTGATATCTCGCAGCGTGGACGGGACTTAAAGGGCGTGCTGAAGCAATACCTGAACATGGTGAAGCCCTCTTATGCAAATTATATAGCGCCAACGATGGCCCATGCGGACATCATAGTGCCACGCGGCGGCGAGAACAAAGTGGCAATAGCTCTGATAGTGCAGCACGTGCACACGCAGCTGCAGCTGGTAAGCGAGGAGCAGCAAGCGGCTGACCTATTGACTAAACATTGTTAAATGATTATTGCAGCGCGGCTTTAAGCTACGTGAGACTTTGGCCAATTCGTATAAGGACCAGCCGATGCCAGATTCGTTGCATTTACTGCATCCAACGCCACAGATTAAGGGTCTGCACACATTCATACGGTGCAAGAATACGTCGCGGGATGAATTCATCTTCTATTCGAAGCGGCTCATACGGCTGGTCATTGAGTACGCGTTAAGCCTGTTCCCCTTCAAGGAGACGTGCGTGGAGACGCCACAAGGTGTCCTGTACGAGGGAAAGCGCATGGAGTCGCGCAAAATATGCGGCGTGTCCATACTGCGAGCTGGCGAAACCATGGAGCAGGCCGTGTGTGATGTGTGTAAGGACATTCGCATTGGCAAGATTCTTATACAGACGAATCTAAAGACTGGCGAGCCCGAGCTTTACTATCTGAGGCTGCCCAAAGACATTAAAGACTATAAAGTGATACTTATGGATGCCACCGTTGCCACAGGCGCCGCAGCCATGATGGCCATACGAGTGCTGCTCGATCACGATGTGCCCGAGCAGAACATCATTCTTGCCTCGCTGCTGATGGCCGAGATCGGTGTGCACTCGATCGCCTATGCCTTTCCCATGGTGAGTAAATCGCTATGAATGAATTCAAATCCAAATCTAATCTTCGTCTTTGTGACAGGTTAAAATTGTTACTTCCGCACTGGACCCGGAGATAAATAGCAAGTTCTATGTTATACCTGGCATTGGCAACTTCGGCGATCGCTACTTTGGCACCGAACCCTCCGACGAGTACTAGGGCCAACTAACAGCGAACCAAGTTTCTTAAGAAATAGACCTAGGATTAAATGAAATCGTTACTTAAATTATCAATTCAAGAACTGCCTTGCCTTTTATTTTATTGAGATAAAAATCGAAGAAGCAGCTGCAGTACAAATGCTACAGCGCCAACGATTAAAGCGATGCCCACATATCGCTGTCCTCGACCACTGCTGCTGGTGCTCGTCTTGGGCTGCGTCTGTTTGCTATAGTCACAGCGCGTCCAGTCGCTCTCCTCGTCCAGTATCTCGGCCATCATGCTGAATTTGCTAGTGCCTGTGATGCGAACGCGCACTCGAGTGCCCAGCAGATTGTCGCGCATCGGGAGCAGCACCTGCTCGTAGCTCTTGTTGTGGCCCACATAGTGCAGCTTGTCGTGAGATATTTCCGTCACCAGCACCGTATACAGTTGGCCCTCGCGACCCGCATACGGCTCGTAGCTGTAGAAAAGGTCTGTCAGCCGTTTGGTACGCTTCTTTACCAGATTCGCTGGTATACGCTCCATTTTAGCCGCCGGCGTGCCCGGACGCGGAAAGAACTGATTGATAAATAGACTGGGAAATCGATATTTCTCGCAAAGCGTCATGGTTTCCTCAAAGTCCTGCTCCGTCTCTGTGGGAAAGCCACAGATAATGTCGGTGGCAATTGTCAGGCCGGGCACACGAGACCGTAAGAAATCGACCACATGCTCAAAGTCCTTGCGACAATATTCTCGCTTCATTTCGCCGAGCACCGAGTCGCTTCCACTCTAATTCGAAAGAATATTGATAGATTTAATAAAGCATTGATTAAAATGTGTGATATAATTGCTTACTTGTACGGGCACATGGAGAAAGGCGTAAACGCGTGGATGCTGCAGCACCTTGGCCACCTCCTCGAGGTGTTCTAGGATGTAGGGCGGATTGGTCATACCGACACGTAGCATACAGTGCTCAGGTATGACCTCGACAAGCTGCCAGAGCAGCTCTGGCAACGAACTGCCAATGTCACGACCGTAGGCACCAGTGTCCTCCGAAGTCAGCCATATTTCGCAGCAGCCCTCGTCAAAGGATTGGCGCGCACGCTCCACTATTTCATCGGGTGGATAGCTGGCCAAATCGCCGCGTGCATGCTTCGTTTTGCAGTAGGTGCATTGATTTAGGCATCCGCTGTTAATCGATATGATCTCAATTAGCGGATTCTTGCGCACCTTTGGCAGAGACAAGGCGGCGCCGGCCACACGACGACCATGCACTTTCTTGTTCTGCAGCAGGCGCACGCTGTGACCCTTGAGCGTCTCCTCGACCACCTCAACGACCCGATCGATTTGCTGCACCCCAATTACCGAAAGACCACGCAAATAGTCGGACTTTGGTGCGCCTTGCGGCACGCAACCGGCCACCACGACGTGCTTGCCATTGCGCATGCCCGACTCGATCTCATTGCGAAACGTATCCTCCGATGGATTCTTCACGGTGCAGCTGTTCAGCAACCATAAGTCAGCCTCATCCTTGCCGCTCAGGTTATAACCATACGCAGCCAGCTGGCCGGCCATGTACTCAGAGTCTGAATTGTTGTGTGCGCAGCCCCAAGTCTTCACATACACCTTTTGTGTTCCTGGCACAACACTTTCGTAAATGGTTTTCTGAGCCTGAAGCGGCGCCTCTGTGTTCGCATCGCCTATTGTTGGTTTGATTTGTGCTCGTTTCTTGGCGCGCACTGTAACGCTCTTTTTGTTTTCATAACGCTCACGGGGCTTTATATCTTCGGCTGATATGAGGTCTTCGATATCGTCTATATCGTTACCCGGTAAGTTCACTTCGAGTCCCATTATTAGCTTTCTTCGTAATCCCGGCGATGCACATGTGCTTGCTTTTGCTCAGCTGTTCACATTTGTCTTCTTCTTGCCAAAAAAAAAAAGTGTGACCAGAATATGCACAGTGTTGGTAAACAAGTGATTATTCCTGATAAATGTAAGAACTTTAAAGTTTAAGTTGTAACGAATTCACAATTCCTTACTATTCAAATGATTGTGACAAATAATATCTTGTCAATAAATTATCTTATAAACTTATTTTCTTCTAATTAACATAAGATAAAAAAGGTTTAAAAATATAATATGAGATCCGTGATTGCTTGTTGATTTCAAATGAATTTATTGAATGTGGCTATGCTTTCACTTGCACTCCACGTATAAATGAGTATGCCTTAAATTTTCAGCTGCGCTACACTTTTGACATCTTATCATCAACAACGCTATCAGCGCGGAGACAGCGACAGTTCCTGAGCACATTTTAATCCGCACTACGGCAATTAAATCCGTCATTTGCAACCGTCTTTGAGAATGATACACATTAAATGTAAAGACACCAATCTTGATCCGATTCCAGTCAAGGTGAGAAGGGGGGCATTGTTCCTCACATCTGTATACACATGTTTACACACACATATAAATATACAGATTTATTCGTTTATAATTTTGTATAAGCGCAGATTGGGATTATTGGTGGCTCTGGGCTGGATGATCCAGATATCTTGGAGCAGCGTCAAGAGAAGGTAATTGAGACTCCATACGGTTCTCCATCGGATGCGCTGATTGAAGGCGAAATCGGAGGTGTACAGTGTGTGCTATTGGCCCGTCATGGTCGCAAACATGATATAATGCCATCTAAGGTTAACTATCGCGCCAACATTTGGGCTCTGCGTCAGGTGGGCTGCACACATCTCATAGTGTCGACGGCTTGCGGTTCCCTCAGAGAGTCCATTCAGCCGGGCAACTTGGTGGTGCCACACGACTTTATAGATCGCACCACGAAGCGAATGCAGACCTTCTACGATGGCGAGCACGCCGGAATGAGTGGCGTCTGCCATTTGCCCATGTATCCGGCCTTTTGTGAGCGAACGCGCAAGGTTCTGCTCGATGCGGCAAAGGAGTTGGAATATGCAGCGCACGATAAGGCCACCATTGTTACCATTGAGGGGCCACGCTTCTCCTCCCGCTCCGAGAGCAATATGTTCAGACAGTGGGGCGGCGATCTTATTAACATGACAACCTGCCCAGAAGTTGTGCTGGCCAAGGAAGCGGGTCTGTTGTATGGCTCGGTCGCAATTGCCACCGATTACGATTGCTGGCGCATGGGCTGCGAAGGTGTCAACGTGCAGGACGTGCTCAAGACTTTCTCCGAGAATGTGGCTAAGGTGAAGAAGATTCTAGTGAATGCCGTTGGACGCATCGCCAAGGAGGACTGGTCGGAGGATATCCTAAATGCCAAGGTACGTACAGCTCAACCACTCCCGACAGCTTTTAATTGGATCCCCGTTTTACAGCAATGCGTCTGCAACAACACCATGTCCGGTGCCATGTGACGCCTTTTAAAGCTCTGCACCGAAATAACCCGGGATACCATCAGGCGCAGAAAGCCTCTGGTCATGCCAGGTTATTATAAGAACTCGAAGAAGCGCCAACCAAAACTTCACTCCATTTCCATTGCCTATGAACTAGAACCGGGCAGCGGACGACGAGAATTTACGATCAAACCAGAAAATCAAGCCCATACTCCGTCAGCTCAAATCTAAATATAAACATTTCCGCACAACGAATAATTTTAATAATCTAAAGCTTTTGGCATGTGATGTTTTAGCATTTATCTGGAAAAGTTTTCTGAACACAAATAAACTAACCGCATTTCATCGAACTGATGAGTTTAAGATATAAATTGTGTGGAAAATAACGTAGAATGTATTTATATTTCCTAATAATGGAAGTTTTGTCATAACAGCTGGCATATTATATTTTAAATGGTTCTTTATAACTTGAATAATTTTCCATTTTCGATAAATCGACTACTTTCTGAAGTTGTTAATTATAGAGTAAAATATGAAACAATTAGTTAATCAGAAGTTGCCATGCGTTAAATTGATAAAGAATACAAACTACAATTTTTGGAAATATAATTAATACAAGTACATTTATCGGACCCGGTAATATAACCTTTATAGGCCAGTTGACAAAGCAGCCCAAGGGATTAGGTGCGCATTAAATAGTTCACATATTAAATCATATCATCGTACTGGTTACTAGCTTTACAATTAAAATTGGAATTCGGTCGCTTGACAGAGCTGCACTTAGGGGCACTTGCGCTCCACTTGGCTCTTGCCAGCCTCCTCGTACTCCTGCGATGATATCCACATCTGCTGAAATGTGCCAATGCTGGCCAGTATGGAGCCACCAATCCAGGCTCCAAACCTCCGCTCGACACTGCCATTGGCCGATATCATTTTAAGGCGCGTGTTCGAAGGTGCGCGCAATTGCAGATCTCGATTGAGACGTTCGGGAAAGCCTTGCAGCAGTGTGTTGCCACCTTAGGAAACAAGAATAATTATGTCTTTTTATGGCACTGATTAAATAAATGCCTAACCTACCTGTGACCACAACTGAACCGAACAGCGATAACCGAACATCGGCATCGCACATGCCGACGCTGGTAGACGAAAGTTGTCCCGCTCCTAGCATTGCGTTGTCGAAGAGGCTTTCCGCAATTTTAAAGCGCTCTGAACCAAAATCTTGATGGTAGCCGTTGGGGAACTCGTAATGAACCATGGGTATTTGGGATGCGACGCGCTCGTCGAAAGGATTCTCCAGCACCTGGAGCACATTCATTTGAAAGTCCTGCATCATTAGCTGCACCATATAGTTCTGCCACGACTGTGTGAGATTCTCAGGCAGTTTTCGCAGAGTGAAGCGTGCGTTGTCGCGCTCTTTTACCACATCCTTAGAGGCAATTTTATATACGGGCGACAAGTCTATGTTGAGTTTCTCTAGATGCTGCCTGCATTGCCGAGACAGAAAATCTCCGCCGAGTGGAGACTTTACCACTGCCTGCGAGAGCACGTAGCCCTCGTGGACGGGCACAGCCGATGTGTGTGTGGCGCCGCTGTCTACTACAAGGGCCGTGGCACGTCCGCTGGAGAACGCGGCCAGCACAGCGTTCTTGACCAGAAAGAAGGCCGGCACATTGTATTTCTCAAACATAAGCTCGGTTAGCTTTTCCCGGTTGTTTCGCACGTTCCACGATGCCTCTGAGAAAAGCACTGGATGATACTCTGGCTCCGATTGTATGACATTGGCGTATGCATAGTCGATGACTTTTTCGAACAGCTCCCAGTTGTCAATCATGCCGTCCTTCATATATGTTTGCACCTCCATCTGCGACCGAGGAACATTCACGTAGTTTGTGTCCACATAGAACTTTCGCGCGTCGCCATCTAATAATGCAAGCGGGATGAAGTTGCGGTGGGTGCAATATATGGGAACAATATATGCTCTACTTACTGTTTGGCGTAACGTTATTGTCTGTTTTTGTCTCTGGATCGAGATTGGTGTCTGGCGCGCTGCTGCCAATTCCCACAACAGAGGGTATTTCTGCTTTGGGCGAATCTTCCTGAGCGTAGCCCACGCGTAGCGAATGGTGGCCCGGGTCGAAAACTAACGCACCAATCTCATCGCCGCCATACAGCATAGTTCCGCCACTCATCTCGGCGTTTTGTTTACAACTTTGTACTTATTTACCACAATAAAATAATCTGTAAAATGTGTGTATATTGTGTACACGGGTGCCTCAAATCACCGGCAGATGCTTACAAAATAGTGTTGGAAAGCGCATAAAAAGAAGAAAAACAAAAGATTACCCCCAAATGAACGATCTAAATATTTTTGGTATTTTGAATTTTATTTACCTATTTATGAATATTTTCAACATGCATTTAATAAAACATATGAAAACTAACGAAGATTATTTGGCCCAACATTGCTTTAGAAAAACTGTTAGTAATGAAAAAACACAGAATGAACCAAATAAAAAAACAAGAACTAGTTCTTTAAAGTAGGCAGTGTTAAGTAATAATAAATATCGTATGTTTCAATATGTTTAGGCGCCAAAATATCGACATATACACATTAGGAGTATTCAGGCTTCATATATTAAGAATGTTAATGAACCAATTTTTTAAAACTCAAAGGTACAATTAGACTATGAGGATCGATAATACAATCACGATTTTGAATTGTTATGTATAAACTTAATATGGATTATACCAATAATAGGAAACTACACGATTTAACAAGATGTGTGATAATATTCCTTCACTGTTCATGTTGCGAATGGAGGAGGACGTTGAAAAGACTTGGTATCAGTATGAGAATGTATTGACAGGCAATTAAATTAGATATTCCAATACTTTTTGAAATGTTCGGCCCCAATTTATTTAGTATTTTGTAAGAAAATACCTAGTTGCTATCGATTTTATCGAAAACGCAAAGGTGTCACCACTAACCACAAGACTCCTATTAATAATATATGTTTAAAACGGGATTTACAAATAAACAGACAACTTAACGAGGGCGAATATTTTACTCACAGGACAACTTAGTAAGTCCAGTCACAAGTCAGCCAATTACCTATAATTTATATTTAGTTTCTTCAACATAGATAAGCTATCATGTTGACATACTAACATACGTCCAATTATATTGTAGTCAAATATTTATTTGCTATTATTAAACGTGTGCGCATTCGCTTCTACCTTTCTCAATCATTACACTACAAATGCAACCATATAACATCAGGGTTGATTCTTACAATGATGTTTGTCAGTTAGGCAATTAGGGATGGAACAAGTAAAACCACCTCTAGTTCTACTTATAAGCGCTAACAACGTGCAATTGTTATCGATAGTTTTGTCAGCTCACAATTTTATTTATTTGATTCCTTATTCCTAAGAAATAAACGAAAAAATTATATTTCGTTAAGTTAAGGACGGAAAATATAACTGGCTGCCATAAGCTTATTATAAAATACAATGGATGGCTCGGAAGATGCATCCCAAATGGAAATCAACCTCTCCAATAAAAACGCGAACTCCCAAATAGTGTTAAACGATCTTCGACTTCTCGAACTAATCTATATGTATCCGTTTCTATTCAGCAAAGCGGTGCATCCCCAGAATGACAAAGACTATGAAGAATGGGGCTGGGGGGAAATAGTGAAGGCATTCAATTTAGGCTACGACGGCTTAAAGCTCTCCGCGCCCTTTTCCGTTGAGGAGCTCAAGTGGCGTTGGGACATTCTGCGGCCCATAGTCCCATCGCTCGGTAAAGCGTGCGGCCAAATCCCGAGCTCCCTTTGGCATATTGTTGGCAAAATAAACCGATTGATGGACGTGAAGCCGCCGGCAAATATCAAGAAGCCTACTTGGACGCAACAGTTTATACTCGATCAGCTGCCGTTTGTCGAGCAGCTGTCGAAGGCGCACCAGAGGCAGTTGGAGGTTGAGGTACTGGATGCCATATTCTGTGAAGAGCGGGAGGTGCGTTTAGTTTGCAAGGGCCTCGGCGTAAAGGAGCAGAAAATTGTGCAAGGCGAGTACGATGCTTTCCTAAAGGCGATACGCGTCAAAGAGCTGCCCACACGCGTCAGCTCTCGCGGGAGCTCCGTTAGCAGTACCGCCGGCAGCAATCCGGACAGTTCTGCAGCTGCGACAAATGTTGCCAATAGTCGTCCCAGTAATCTCGTCATCAGCGATGTACGCGGCAACAGCGAACCACAGCCTGAGCCAACAATCCCGACTAAATCACCGCTGGTCATAAAAGACGAGCCACCAGATCAGCTTGAGGTAGAGCAGCAGAAGCAGCAGTCGAAACAGTCGCCAGTCAAAGAAGTTGATCTAAGGCTGCGATATGTGCCGATCAAGAGCGCCAAGTACTATGTGAAGAAGGTGCAGGTGAGACTGAAGCGCTTGGACCTCGCCGACTATATGCCGTTGTCGGTTGTGAGGAAGACCCGCAACAGGAGCTCCTGACTGCGTTTGGCAACTATTCAGTTAAGTTAGTTTTATATCAAATGCACAATAAGTTTATTTAAAAAATACATTACTATAAATTACAACTTATAGCTATTGTTTAAACTGATTTGATTTTGTTGTAATCACTAAACAAACAGTTTCCGAAACAGATGGGCCTGCGACATGCATCTAGCTGAGCTGGTGGCTGGCTATTTAAAAAAAAAAAACGACACGCACACACGCTGCTCGGCGGAGCGACTGCAGCAGTCCCAGCGCCTGGATAGCACTGTTGTCCCTAGGATGTGGCCTCAGGCGCTGAGCTGCTGGGACGTAGCGCGCAAGGAACTTGGCTACTTGTACATTGCATTTTGTTCTACTTTGTTTTGTAATCGCATTTGTGTTTATTATTAACAAGAGTCACAAGAACGTAATTCAACATGTCTACAAAATACAGTCCATGGTAAAAAAAAGCGCAGCACTAACAAGACTAACTAACAAACAACAAAGCCACAATCCAGCAGTCAGTCGCTTGATGCGGATGTGGCATACTTTCATGGGGTGCACGGCTCAGTTCCAGTGCCAGCCACAATCTAAAACAGCTGATCCGCCAGATTCCCAATGAAAGTGGCCAGGTTCATAGAGGAGCCCTCCTTGAATTTCAGTCCAATCGTTTTTCCATACGCTTGTATGAATATGGCCCGAACAGCGTTCAATCGTTGCTTGCGTCTGCAAAACACGGAAATTAAAGAGATTGTAAGTTGATCAGAATATTCGGAATAAATCTCAGATTCTTTTCGGATATAATAGATATAATAATAGATTATCTTCGATTCGTATCGCTGGCGTCCCTTCGACTTTTAATTGTTTACTAATTACAACTTCAAATTTAATCAATCTGAAAATCGATAATTATCGATTTCGTGTTAACGGATTGAGAGAGAGAGAGAGGCAGAGAGTTAGAGATGCACAAGCATATAAAATTCCCTTTCACTCATTTTTAATGTGCATGGGATATATAAAATGTTGTGAATCAAAATAAAACTAATTAGATGCGACTTCTATTTATCCAGCTAATCCGGGGTTAAAGGTTCAGTTCATGGTAATTCAAATTTAAATTCCGGGTTGAAATAGGTTAGATTCCAAACCGGATTGCAGTTTATCTATTATCTGTCCAAAATGCTTAACTCCATTTATAAAACTCTCTCAAAAAGCGACAACGGAAATCTACTGCGAAATCTTAGAAAGTTTCTTTCTAAATATTTGGCTTGGTTCTAGAAATTTCTTTTTGAATATGAAAAAAAGAATTGAACAGGAAGATAAGGAAAGTACGGGTTAATTTAAATTTTAAGAAAAACCATTTAATTTGTTTATCTATGAATAAAAAAGATTATTCTGATTCCCCTTAGGTGTTTCTCTGGATCTATAAAACTAAAGTCCCTATACTCTATAGAAAAACCTTTTGATTTGACTGGGCGCACTTACAAATTGATGGATTGCTTGGAAGCGGCTGCGCTGGCGCTGCCCGCCTCCTTGGAGGAACCATTATTGAAACCGTGCGTGTTGCTGCTGCTGTTGCTGTTGTTGCTGCTGCTGCCGCTGGCGCTGGGATAGCCGCTGGGATAGGCGCTGGCCGTGTTGGTGCTGCAGTGATAGCCATTGCCGCCGTTGCACATTGGAATGTTGTCTGTCTGCTGATGCTGCTGGGCCACGAAGCGCATCATGTAGCTGCCATTCATCATGGAGTCTATGGAGCCGGTGTCGGTGACCACCTGCCAGCTGCCGTTCGACGAGGTCGACTCTTGGCGCTGGCGCGCATTAGAGCCGGGCACTGAAATGGGGCTGGTGCGGGATCTGCGGACCAAGTACCAAAGGTTAAATCAAATTAAAGTCAAATTCAAATTCTTCCACTTACCGCTTTGGATTGGGCGATCGACTGGTCAGCGGATTGACGAGCGCTGGGGGTGCAGTTGTTGCAGTTGTCGCCGTGGCTGGAGCTGCTGCTGCAGTTGTTGTTGTTGTTGTTGTGGCAAAGAAGTTATCTGTTATGGACATATCACAGTTGGAACAGTTTGAGTAGCTATCGTTGCTATCTTGATCGAAGGCCAAAATGTAGTCTCTGCAAGAGGAAAGCAAGGGTAAGAAAGTAATCATCAAAATCATATACATTTCTTTCGATTTTATAAGCTCAAAGTATATTAAAGTAATTTCAAGAGATTCAAGAAGCCAGAATCAAAGCATCTTAAAATTCATTTTTGACGAGTTTTATACTTTTCAATAAATCCATCTACCCTCGATGGAAAATTGTGGCGCAATGCCTGAGTCTGATCGCCTTCGAACTTATTTTCATATTACATTACATTACAAAGATCGACGGATCGATCGAAGAATAAAAGAACAGAAGCATTTTAAATGACATTCACCGATTGCGGCAAATGGGTGGAAAAGTGATTTATAAAACCTTCAGTGAAAAGCAACTTGGATTGGGTAAGGTAAATCCTGCACATATATTTATGTTTATTCCTAAGAAGTTTGGCACTTGATGCGGCTGCACTTACTCCTTGAGCGGCTCGTCGTCGCAGCAGTCGGACTTGATGACAATGACGCTGCTGCCGCTGCTGCTGGACGTCTTGGTGCGCTTGCGATGCTCCACGATGCTGAACTCCTCGTCGGTGATGAACTTGAGGACGTGAAAGCAGAAGAACATGATGTCCTCGCCGCGCTTGAGGCGATCGGGCAGCTGGTGGCCGAACAAGTACCAGTCGTAGGCCAGAGTAAAGTACGCCATTTGCAGGGCGTTGAGGGACTGATGGATGAGGCCGTCGGCCCACAGCGACAGCCGCACCAGGGAGACGAAGAGGGGCGTGCGGTCCCAGCCACTGATGCAGTGTATCAGCAGACCAGAGTTATCCTCCTGTATATACTTAAGCGTGGCGCGCAGATAGTTCTGCGTTATGGAGACAAGATCCCAGTCACGGTACTCCGGCCAGATGATGTCGATGTCGGCGGCGGGTCCCAGATTGGGTATGTGGATATTGGCATCGTTGAACGACTGTTTCCAGTTGTAGTGCAGATTCTTGGCCATGTAGTTGTTGTCCCGGAACTTCTTGAAGAACTCGCATCCCGGATACGGCAGCGATAGCAGATTAAAGCTCTTGTAGTGCTTGTTAGGATCGGCCTTCTCCGACGAGGAGACGCTGTAAAAGTGCATTTATGAATAGCCCGATCAAATACGATCTAATCGATTTTGGTGACTTACGCCATGAAGTATTTGATTTTGCGATTCTCCACCATGAGATCCACAATTGTGGACACGTTCAGCGTGTGCAGCAGCTGGATGTCGCTCTTGATAACCTCGTCGTAGCTGAACTGTGACTGCGCCTGGTCGTTAATGTGGTTGATCAGCGACTCGTCCGTCGTGTCCGACTCGTTCTCCTCGCCATTGGGCGCAGCATAGTTGCCCCCGCTGAGACAGTCGTACGCATAATCGACCACCTTTCGGCCGTACGTCTCCGGCATCACGGAGAGCGTCGCCGAGCGGCAAATGTATTTGCCACGATACATGATGACGGGCACGGCGAAGCGCTGCCTGCAGCGCGCATACTTCGCCATGGTGACCAGCTCCCGCATGCGCTGTATATCATACTGATCCTCGTAGATGGTGTTCTGCTGGGGCTGCTGGTGCGCCGACTGCGGCACCGACTGCTGCTGGTGTTGTCTGTCTGTCTGCAGCGGATTGGCAAAGGTCACAAAGGCTTGGATGCCGATGCCAGATGTGCTCCCGTTGCTGCAGTTACTGCCGGCGCTGCTGTTCAGCGGCGTTGCTGTCGCCGTTGTGCCCGATGAGCCGCCTCCTACTACTCCTCCTACTCCTCCTCCTCCGCCGCCGCCCAGCCCGTTGCTGGGTATAAGCGTCTTGGCCATGTGCCCATGCTCGCATTCCGGTATGAGTATGCGTCCAGGATATCTCGGACTGAGCAGCCCGTTCGTATTGTCCAGCTCAATGAGGCTGTAGTCGAGCTTGAACAGAAATTCGCATTTTTTTGAGATGCCATACTCCTGTGAAGGCAAGAAGAAACGAGAATACTTATTAATTGAAAACATTTGCATACATTTATAAATACTAGAGGGTGTAGCCCGGCCTATAAATCTCAGTATTCAGAGAATAAGAATTGGACAGATGCTTCTCCCTAAACCCGCACATATGTACATCAGATACTCAGGAACTTTGATTGACCCCATGAAATAGAGAATTAATATGACTTAGAGTCGCGAAATTTCGTCATGTAAGTTCTCGTATGCATAGGTTCAATATAGATCCCTAACCTGACTCTTTTGAATACAAGATATTTCAAAGTTTGTTGTTTTTCAAATTGTTGACACTAGTTTTTTAATCTTTGTTCAAATTGCAGCAATAAAATAATTTCCTTGTTTTGGTTTGACATGTTACTGAATCTCTTGACGGTTCACATTCTTGATAACCTTTTTATTTCGCTGCATCCACAACATTTACTTTGATCTTTAAATAAAGTCTCTCCTATAGACATTTGGAATATTATTTAAATGTTGTTTAAAAATATGCGAACAGCTGCGAGGCACGCGTTTCAAATTAAACATACGATAATTCCCAGAGTCTCGGTTCAATTAAACGCGACTGGCCTCCGCTGGGGGTTATCGTCCATATAAAGAGTCGAGTAACCGTGAAATTCTGAATTCCTGGTTTAAATTGCAATTAGCAAATTACACAAAATATGCTTAAGCTATAAATTAAAATATAAGGAGTTAATAGCGTCTATCCCAACTTAAAGTATAATGGAAATTGGGTAGAGCGTATATTCAAAAGTAATATTAGAATTTCGTAGCTATTTTAAAGTTACCTAATCAAAAATCTAGCAATGTTATAAATGGGATTACATAACCATATTAATATAGAATTTTAATGCCAATCTTTAAACTTTGTTCATCCCTTAAAAACGGATCGTAAACATTCTAAAGATCGGAAGCGGAGCTGCCGGCCTGCCATCTGTCCCAGACAGCGGATGGGCTATAAAAAGGAACTAATACACGAATAGCTACCAAACCTTGACAGAAATGGAAGCCATGTCGTCTGAACAGGTTTGTAGCACAACAAAAGCGAGCGATAAACATAGCAAAGCGAAATGCGAATAAATAGAAACGAGATAGAAAACTGCGCAAAAAGGCTAAGGCGGCGCAACAAGCGAAATAGCGAACCACATACCAAAACAAACGTGGCAAAAAGACAAACACCCACATACAAAGTGTTCATACATGTAGCGCATACATACGTGTGCAGGCAAGAGAAAACTATGCGAGGCGAAACAAACGAGCAAAACAACTAAAACGCAATTACCGCTGTGCCTGCCTGTGTGTGAGTGGGGTGAGAGTTTATGGTGGGCGGCAGAGTGTATTCAGGTTGTGGTGAGAAAGTTTTTGACGAACGGCGGCAAACGACTGAAAGGTGTTTTGAGTGGGCGAAAGAGAACGAACGACATAAGA